GAACATGGCTGATAAAATACACAGGGATCTGATGGCCGTCCCTTTCAGCAAACAGGACGACGCTTAAGGAATGATCGGAAATAGCCAAATACATGTATAGCTTCTCATCTTTGAGTGGATTGACAAGCCGAGGAAGTGTATGCAAATGATTCTTCAACTGTACGAAGGCTCCCCCGGCCTCCTTTGTCCATTCGAACATTGTTTTTTTCTTAATTGTTTGGAAATAACAGCGTCACTTATCCCCTGATCTTGACAGAAATCGTCCGAGTGCAGCTAAGTAGTCGGTCAGTCTCTAAACTTCTTTTATGGTTCTGGGCGATTTCATATCTAAGACCGCCTGGATCTTTTCAAGATTGGTCTCAATGCCGCGCTGATAAATCAAAAAATCCTAGAAATTTGTCGAACTCAACACCAAAGACACACTTCTTTGGATTTAACATCATCTTATGCCGCTTGAGTTCGGTAAATGTTTCTCGGAGGTCACTCAGATGATCGACCGACTTCTTTGATTTAACAATCATGTCATCAATATAAGCCTCCATATTCCGGCCGATTTGACCTCTAAAGACCGTATTCACAAGTCTCTGAAATGTGGCAAGGGCATTCTTCAGGCCGAACGGCATGACTTTGTAATAGTGCAGCTCCTGCTCGGTCACAAATGCTGTTTTTTCTTAATCTTCTTAATAAACTAGGCGGTCAATTTTAGGCAAGGGAAAGGTATCCTTAGGGCATGCCTTGGTTGAGATTAGTGTAATCCACACATCCGCAAAGTTCCATTCGGCTTCTTGACTAGAACTACATTGAACACCCAATCAGGGTAATAACATTGCTAAATGAAACCAGCGTCCAACAGTTTCTTCACTTTGGCAGCGGCCGCCTGATTTCTTTCTTCACCAGATTTCTTTTTTTATGCCGTACAGGCTTTGTGGCGGGATTCACAGCCAGCTTATGGACTGCTAAGTCTAGGCTTATAACCGACATCTCATGAACTTTAAATGCAAACACATCTCTCAATTCTCTTAATAAATTAACCAAGTCACCTCCAAGCAAGCCTATGGCCATAGTGCCCACTTTAACTGTCTGATCAGGCTGGTGTGGGTCAAGCACTATGTCCGTATGATCGCCGGCCGGCTTTTGCCTCAACTCTTATGGCCGGCCGATGGTCATTAACTGTTGTGCTTGTTCTTTCTTGATCGACTTATGTTTCTTGCCGACGTGGTATGCTTGGAGTGACCTTTCTTCGGAGTTTTGCTCGAACGCTTTTCCATATTTGCGTGATGTTGTCTTGACAGCCACTTGATTACATTCTTTTTCCATCTTTTGGTTTCCCTGGATATAACCTATCTTTCCATCCGACCGCTCAAACTTCATCAGCATCAAGTGAGGGACGATTACAACCTTTCCTGAGTTCAAAGTAGGGCGACCAATGATGACATTATAGCCAGTGAGCTCTTTAACTAGGAAGCGAATGACCATGTCCCTTCCTTCTCCCTTTTGCCCAAATCAGACGGGCAAGTTTATTCGTCCGACTGGGTGGATAATGCTCCCACCAAACCCAACCAACGGGTGGAAGATATCCTTTAAGGCATCTTTTGGAAACTTTAGATTCTTTAGACAAGCCAAACTGGTTATGTCGAACGACCTGCCTGTGTCTATCAGCACTCGTCCAACCTTCAAATTGGTGACTTTGAGAATGGACACCATGGGGTCATTGTGGGGGGCTTTAATTTTGCCTCGGTCTGCCTCGCAAACCGTTAGCTCTAGAAAAGGCTCAGCCTTAACCCCTCCCGTGTGTATTATATTCCCTAAATTCCAAGCGTCTTACTTTATTCCCTTCATGGTTGAGCCCCCTGCAGTAAAGACGCCCGATATGACAGCCACAAACCCTGAGTCCGTGTTGTTTCCATCATCATCTTTTCCTTTCTCCTTCTTTTTCTCAGACTTGTTGTCTGTTCAAGAGTAGGTAAACTTAGACTTCAGAAAGTACGAATTGAGCATGCCCTTCTCGGCCAGCTTATCCAGCAACCTTTTCAAATTGTTACAGTCATTCGTATCATGCCCTACATCTTTGTGGTAATGGTAGTACTTGTTCTTGTTTCTATACTGGGCTGGCCGTCTCAAAGGCTGGGGCTTCTCAAACTCAAACGTGTCTTTAATTTTCATCAAAATTGAATAACAATATTTGTTGTACTCGTACTGTGGCTCGTACGTCTTGGCTTTTTTGACCTGGTCTATTGGCAATCAGCCACCTAGACTTGTTTTCTTTTGTTGTTTTCTTCCTTCTTTTTGCCGGCCGAGTCTTGCTAAGAAGGTGGTTTCTTCTCGGCGCCCTTGGCTAGCTCTTTTGACTTTGTAAGCGAACAAAAGTCAGTTGCCTCAACATATGATTCCGCCTCCCGCAATACACCTGTGTATGTCCAAATCTTTATTCTGATCAAATCAAACTTGAAACCATTATGCCTTAGACCCCGAAGAAACTCCGAGTACGCCATCTTATCCGGCAAATTCTGAATTTGCGCTTTCTCCAAATTAAACCTCTGAACGTACGAACGCAAACCCTCTTTCTTTCCTTGGAAGGTGGTTGCCAAGTTAAGACTAGTCTTGTGGGGTAGAATATTATAAGAGAAGTTTCCAACAAACAACGGGCTGAGAGTTGTAAAGCAATTTATGTATCTAGTCGGCTGACTGTTGAACCAGTCTTGAGCCACACCCTTAAGAGTGGCCGGTAAGCATTTACACCAAGTGGCATCATCCACACTTTGCAAGTACATCAAATTTCTGTATGAGGTAACATCCACACTTTGCCCGTACCATCATAGCCACCCACAAGTACACTATTCACTTTAGCTGGATGAGGAGAGTTGAGAATTTTTTGTGAAAACGGAGGCGACTTGTCACCAAGATTTAACAAGCTACCTAGTCGTACGGCTTGCCATACTACCCGTACTACCCATATACAGGAGGAGTAAGTAGCAGAATTGCACCATAGTTATGAGGCGTTTGAAACTGAAGGGGTTGGGTTAAGGGAACTGGAGTTGGAATACGCTAAGCTTAACTTCTGCTAGTCCTGGCTTAGCTGGTATGCTTGGAAAGAGTGTGATTTGAGAATTCATCCGGCATGGTTGGATTAGAGGCAGTGTCCGAGTAGTAGAACTGTGCTCGCTCTTACAGCTTGTGCCGGAGATAGTCTCTAGCATTCCTTTAGCGTTGGGATGGCTCATTTGGCTGCCTCAAAGGCTGCTTGGTCTACCCCCCAGCCGATTTTGTTTTACCAAGTAACCGGGACCATTTCATCGAAGGCACCCTTGGGGACCTCTGATGTCTTCTGAACGGGGTATTCCCTGCAGCTCCAGTGTTGGCCATCTTGTTTTGAAGTTTTTTCCTAATACCCTCTTCTTCTCTTCTAGACGGCTATCTTGAAGAAGGTATCTTACCCTCAAGTTCTTTTCAGAGCTTGTTCAAGGCGGCCTGCAAGGAGCCGGCAATTACTGGGGGGGTCCTCGACCTCATGGAATGAGGCAGTCAGAGGATCACTTGTGTTGATTGTAGCGACAATGTTTTCTACATTAACCGTCCTGACCAGGATCGGGTGTCTGACCATATTTAGCCATTTCAGACATTTATCCCCACAAACGAAGCCAAATGTTTCAGGGTTTTTTTGAATCCCTTGGGATATAGGTCTTGAATATAGCCGGATGGTCGCGGACACTTGCAAAACAGCAAATATTCCGTTTGACAAAATATTCGCCTCCAACAATCAAGTTAGTGATCGAAAGTAAATAGATGAATTTAGAGAGAGAAAGTAAAGAGATGTTAGAGCAAATTGTTTATGCAATAAATGAGATGTCTCTATCCACCGCTCCCATCATAAATGATTGGGGTATTTATAGGGGTGGGAATGTGTAACATCTAGGGTTTGGTGACCTAGAATGGTGTGCTCTGATTGGCGGCGCAATCAAGTAAGGACAAGTGTCCTTTGGGGGCACCGTTTTAGTGCTTTTCTTGGGATTTGGGCCTCTTGATGTAAGGAGGCCTTTTCCTCATTTAAGTGCTCTCTTGTTTATGACGTGTCATCTTCCTATTGGGACACGTGTCGCCCTGTTATTGGGCCACGTGTCTCTATAAGATTGGGCCACGTGTCGGGGGTGTTTTCACCCTAAACACCATGAGTATTTGGATAAGTTTGTGGTTGTTTTTATAATTGATATTTTGGTATATTCGAGAAGTGAGAAAGAACATAATGAGCATTTGAGGACTATGCTGAGAACTCTTAGAGACAATAAGTTGTATGCTAAGTTTTCGAAGTGTGAGTTCTGGTTAGAGAAGGTTGCATTTTGGGACATTATGTGTCTAAGGAAGGTGTCTCTGTCGATCCAGCAAAGGTTCAAGCAGTGAGGGAGTGGCCAACGCCAAAGAATGTGTCTGACATAAGGAGTTTTTTGGGACTAGCTGACTATTAAAGAAGGTTTGTGAAGGATTTTTTTAAGATTGCTAGACCATTAACTACCTTGATGGAGAAGGAAAGTAATTTTGAATGGGATGAAAAGTGTGAACAAGCCTTTCAAACTCTTAAGGAGCATTTAACCACCGCAGCTGTTTTAGCCTTACCTGATGGAAGCGATGGATTTAAAGTTTATAGTGTTTCTTTAAAGAATGGATTAGGGTGTGTGTTGCAAAAAAAATGGGAAGGTGATAGCGTATGCTTCTTACCAACTCAAGCCTTATGAAGTTGATTACCCTACACATGGTCTTGAGCTTGCGGCTATAGTGTTTACATTGAAGATTTAGAGGCATTATTTGTATGGGGTAAGGTGTAAGATCTTTACAGATCACAAGAGTCTCAAGTATATTTTCACTCAGACAAATCTTAATATGAGACAAAGACGTTGGTTGGAGTTGTTCAATGACTATGATTTAAACATATAATACCATGAACGGAAAGAAAATGTTGTTGCGGATTACTTGAGTAGGAAATCAAGCCATGGTGTGAATGCTTAATCATGCCTGATGAGTTATGTGAAGATATGAAGCGTTTGAACGTGGAGGTTGTGAACTATGGTGAATTAGAAGCAAGGTTGAGCGCTAAGTATGTAGGTCCTTATGAAATTTTGGAACGTGTAGGCAAGGTTGCTTACAAATTGGCATTACCTATGGAATTTGAGAAAATGCATGATGTGTTTCATATTTCCCAATTAAAAAAGTATGTTCCTGATGCAAAGCACGTGCTACAACCTAAATCGATTCAATTGGATGAAACTTTGACTTATGAAGAAAGGCCTGTGAAAATTTTGGGTCATAAGGTGCGTAGTACACGCAATAATGATGTTAGAATTGTTAAAGTTCTTTGGTCAAACCAAGAGTATGAGGAGACTACTAGGGAGGCCGAGGATGATATGAGAAACATATACCTTGAGTTATTTAACGAGGTGAGTTACGAGGGCATAAGTCTTGTTCTTTAAAGGGGGTAGAATGCGTATAATTTCGCGCTTTTTGCCCTATTTTATGAAAGGAATGGTGTCCTTCCAACAAGTGTATTATTCCGATAGAGGGTTCAGAATTATTAGAAAGCTAATTCTTCAGTGAGGTCAAGTGATCGGAATGCCTAGCTGGAGGCCGCTTCCGATCAGTAATATTAATGTGTAATTAATATTACAGCTTAATCTCGACTGAACCCTTCGGGTCACACCCAATCGGGTAACTGATCCGAGACGAAAAATCAATCTGAAGGATTAGATGAGTCATTAGAGTATTACGAACAAAGACATCGAATGTCGAGCTTAGAGCGTCGAAACCAAGCGTCACGAGTCAAGTCGAATTTAGAATTCGACAAGACGAGAAAATCAATAAGCGACAAGTATGTACTAAGTCGTAGCCTCGCATTGGCCTAGCCATGCGAGTGTTAGGCTAGCCTAGGCCACGCACCATACCGAGCTTGCTAGCAGCGCATACATGCTAGTATCGCATACTAGCAGCGCTGGCTAGCTAGCTGGTGTGGCAAGGCTAGCATCGCTTGCGCGCTAGGCGTTCTAGCATGCTAGTGCCTCGCACATAGCAACCCTACCGTAGCATCTCAAGGCCAGAAGCAGCATGCAAGTGATGTGCCTCGCTAGCATCGCTATGTGTGCTTGTGTTGTGCACTCGTGCGTGCTAGCCAAGAACCACCAGCCATCGCAATGTGATGTGCGTGCTTGCTAGCGTAGCAGCACACTGTGCGTGCTTGCCTGTGTGTTATGCGTGCTGGGCATCGCATAGCCCTTGCACCCGCATCGCATAAGTAACAGCAGCTAGCAGCCTACAATGCATGCGTAGGGTGCTTGCTGCGTGTGTGCGTAGGATGGCTGGCCAGCAAGCCCAGCCTTGGTGCTAGGCGCCAGCTTGGCAGCCTTGGCAGCCAAGGAAGGCTGCCAGCCAGCCATGCTTAAGCGGACAACTCACGGTTTGGTGGGGACCGTTTCTTGGTAGCTTATGCTTAGGGAGCAAGGTGCATTGGTCCCCTCCCCCCTATGGTGGTCCTCAACAACCTTGTCCCTCTCTTTGCCACATGGAGCTTGTTGATTGGTTTGCATTATGATTGGAGGAAATGCAATTCTCCCACATTGATGGGAGAAAGGAGAATCAAGTCTCCTTTCCCTATAAATACCAAAGATTTGGGTTTGGGAAAAACCACTTGAGTTGAACTCAATGAGGCATCTCCCTTTAGGTGAGAAAACCTCTAAGTTCGTAATACTATAGTATTATCTTGGTCTAGCCCCGGCTAACCTCCGGGGTAGAGGCCGTTCGGGTCAGGTCTCGAGGGTGGACTCCGTCAGAGGCTCTCGCGCTTGCGGAGCTATGGCTTTGAAGTCCGAGCTCTATAGGAGCAAAGCACGCGTCTAGGGTAAGAATGCCTTTTCTCTTTCTCTCTTAATTGTTGTTTAATTAGTGATTGCATTCTTAGTCGCTTTAATTTGTGTGCGGGTCTTGGGTGGGTTTCCCTTCCGCGTAGAGTCGGACTCTATGAAACCCAACAGCGGTATCGGAGCCGCGCTCACTTTCATTATTGTGACTAATAATTAATTAAAGGTGATTTAAAATAGATTTAAATTTTTGGTTGTGCTTTCTAATTGGATTAGAAGCTCGTTTTCGTTAGTTTTAATCTCGTATGTTTTCTAATTTTGGCTGACGAACCCAGATTTCGACTCAAAAATAGTGACGAAAAACCATAGAGAAGGCAAAATCTAAATCGTTTCTGATCCTTATAGGGTTGTCCAGAAGCCAAAATCTACCTAGAAATATGTTTTTTGAGGGTTTTTTCATTTTTGACGAAATTTTTTTACATCTTTTAACCTTGATTAATTATTGCATGTTGAAGGTATATTAAATGTATGGTTGCATCCCTAATCTACTACAATTATAAACCTCATTAAGCATGTTTATGAAGTCATAATTGGTGCTTAATTTGGTGTGTTCACTTTTCACATAAACCTGTTTTTTCACATTATTGCAAATAAATTGCTTCAAGTGTGAATGTTTATGGTGAACTTGCAATTTTGAAGCCCCTAAAATTTCAAAGATCCAACCTTTAATTGTTTATTTGGTTGGAACTTTGATTGCTAAATTCCATGTTGAACTAATTTTTGGATTTAATCATTTTGTGTTGATTAAAGTCCTTAAACTTCAAAACTTGTGATTGAATTTTTGATTAATCTTCATATTGCAAGATGTAATTTTTCAATTTTACACAAGTTATTGTTGGGATATGATTCATTGGATGAAAGGCTTTATTTTTCCAACCCCTTTAATTTTGTCAAATCTCATTATTAATTTACAGTTGATTAAATTAATTATGAGTGTAGCCCTTCAATTTTTGTAGCATAAAGAAAGACCTAAATTGTTTTAAATGGTTCTTGAATAATTTAGGCTTGTGCACCATTAAAACAATTGAATTTAATTAAGTTGGACTTGTTTTAATTTCATTTTTGGCCTAAATTGATTCTAAAATAAATTTAGAATTAATTTTATGTCACACGAATAACGGAATTAAAATCCTGAGAAAAGGCACGCAAATCAAGGCAAAACACCCAAGCGCCACCAAGGATAGCCGGGCTGCTCACAAAGCCCACATGTGGCTGCCTTAGGTGCGCACAAGGGTGCTTCACCTTAAAATGTTGTTGTTGTATTGCGGCTGGGCTCGTGTATGTGTTGTTATGTGTATGGTGCATGGCGGATGGCTGCTTGCCATGCTTGTGCGTGTTGCTGGGCAGCGAGGCAGCAAGCCCCATCAAGCCAGCCACTTGCCTGCCAGCGCCAACAAGCAGCCAGCATGCGCAAGCTACTGGTGTCAGCAAGCGTGGCATGCGTTGCTGGGCATGCATGCCAGCACCTAGCACAAGCAGCCGCATCTCCCAAGTGCTGCTAGGCAGTCATGGTGCGTATCCCACGATTTTTGGGTGGGTCGATTTCTTGCTTGAATTAGGCTATCGATTTTTTGCAAATTTTTCCGTTTTAATTTATTTAATCATTTTAACGAGGCTAGGCCTCGGTTTTTCCGACTCTTGCAAAATTTTAATTTTGACATAATTTGGGTTAACCGGCTTAATTAATTGGATTAATTAAGTTGGATGCGGAATTTAGTGGGAGCTTTGTTAATTGCATGAATTAATTGCGTCTTAATCACATAAAATGTTAAACAACTTTGACTAGTTTTAATTAGGCGCGTTAATCAGATTAACCACCTAAGTTAGTTACTAGTTTACGCGTGTTATGCATTGTTACTTGTTTTTCGTTGTAAAATGCATGGGTCATTCACATATAGTGAATGGATGAATGGAATGAATATTGTTTCACAGGTTTTGTGAAAATGGCAACTAGTGGGGCCCGACTAGGATAGTAAATACGGACTGCGATCCATTATGTATTTTTGTAAATCTAAATACGGTCTGCGTACCGTTGCGTATTTTTGTACCTTAATATTTAGATTATTCCTAGTTATAGTAGCTAGTAGATGCTTAGTTGGCAGAGATGTCTCGAAGACGGCGTCTCTAAGAAGGCAAGCCAAAGAAGTTGCATCGGAGACCCTTGAAGATTTGAAGACTCAAGGGGTCATGCTAGTTGCCAAATGCATCTTATACTTATGATTTATATATATTGTTTTTATATATGTGAATGATATGTTAGGTGCATGTTTAGGATTTCAAATGTTGCGATGATTAATTGAGTTCACTTAAATCAACCAACATAGAAACCCTAGGTCCCTAAAATATTGAGCTAAAATATGCCATTCCAAGAACAACACTTACCGAACTAATGCGCGTATGTGATGGGCTACGCCAAAGCGAGGAATCACTACTTCCCTAGGAACATAAGGTATATTAAGTATACAAGTTGTCTTGGTTAAGCTCAACGATATCAGTAAGGAGTCCTTAAATGTCGCGGCAATGGAGATAAAATGTCAAGGAAACATAAGATGCGACGTTTTATCGAATCAAGAGTAGCTTGGAGCTATTAGCAATTGGATTGCTTACCCTAAAATATTAAGTGTTAAGACAAGCCAAAGCATGCTTAATCACTTTTTGATTTTTGAGATCTTGGAATCATTTTATTCTCGCCTAAAAGGGACTAATGTTAATGCGTGGATAAAATGCTCAATAAGATTGAAAATTTGCATGAACGCTTTAAATTTCAAACTTATTAACTTGAAGAATGGTTATACTTTGCACTTATATTTGTAGAATTCTAAATCAAATTATATTGTTTTCAATGATTGGTAAAGGATATCTTTTGAGAATGGTTCTCAAAGAATGGAAAGGCATTTCTAAAATACAACCTCTCATAATTGACTTTTATGACTTAAGTTCGAAAGGACGGTTGGACATCATGTATTCAAAATACTAGGTAGTTTTGATGAACATGAAATATTGAGTTGAAAAACTCAAATTGTCAACAGTTGACAACCAACATATCTTTTCACTTCATACACTAATGAGTAGGACTCATTGATGTAGCAATTCAAGTACAAATTGAAGGAAAAGATGGAACTTTGTTTCATGGGGCATTAGATGCTTAATTATGCCTAATAAAGTGTAAAAATCAAGGCACTTAAAGAAATGGTTCTTACAGTTATGAGATGGCGTATGATAAGAAATATAGGAAACAAGGAACAAAGGAAAGGAATAAGATTCCTATTCTACCCATGAGTTCATGTTATTATGGTCAACTTAGCAATTCGTTATCTTCATAATTAAATATTGGATACTGCTTGAGTGTTCCACTTTGAAAGTGACCTCAAACCATTGAGGACAAGCTAAGTTATTGACTTACAAGCTTAGAATGAAGCAAGTAGTGCTACATCAGTTGTAAGGTCACTTGTTTTGTTTAAAGTCCTTTTGAGCCAAGGCTGGAACGAATAATGGTTATTGTGTTCCATAATCAGCAAACGATCCGTTTACACACGGAAATACTCATATTCAATAAAAGAGCA